CTTTCTAGTCTTCCAAGAACACATCCAAGGGAGAAAGCCTTGGGAAACACTAGTGTCCTTTTAAGCTTAAAGGGTAAATGAATGATCTTCTGATTAGAGCATAGTGTTTGGAGCTGCAAACAGGCCCTTTTTGCGATTGTGCCAAAACTCCATACAGCCAACTTTTGAATTTCCAGGATAATCAGGAGTTGAGGAATGCATATAATGCAATCAGATAGATAATATATAAGTGAAACTGTAAGAATCGTCCGTGAAAACAAATGGAGGTAGCCATACATGGAAGTCCCCTTCCACGTATGAGTGCAGTATGAGTGGCAAGCTCTGTGTGACATGAGGGTCCCAGAAATGGCCATATCTCACTGTGCCATTAAACACATCACAACTCAGGATGCTGGGTGCTGGGAATGCAAATTCCAGGGTTCCTGTGGCAGTCTGGTGACCCACAAGGTGACTCATTTACTTAGACTTTCCGACTGGAAGCCCTGGGAAGCTTAAAAGCAGGAAAGCTGTCAAAGCCCCCTTTGTTTTTTGCCTCAAGGAAATCCACACACCAATGTTGCTCTGAGGCTTTGGGTCCTTGAAAGCCCTATATATGTCAGCTGGAAGCATCTTATGCTCAGTTTGGTGGCTTTCATTGAACCCAGGCTTTTCTGTGAAAAGAGCATTTTCTAATTTTTGCCAGAAAGTTCTCAGGCAGGTGTAACTTGCAGCCTTCCCTCTTCAGCTTCACTTTGGTCTCTTCTGCACCTGATGATATGGGTCAGCATCTCCTATGTGGGGTGATCCATTTTTCCATATATTCTTTTCTGCAGACAGTCAAAATTAGAAACAAAAGAAAAAAACACCCTGGAAACTTAAGCGTTAATACTGTGAAATCTGCTGCAGTATTAACAAACAGGCTTCTGTTAAAAATGAGACGAAATTGGGTGGAGGTAGATAAAAAGAAATCTGAAATAATTGTTCTGTAGAATACAGCCTTTCCGCATAGGGAGAAATCTTTCTCTTCACTTCTGTCTGAAGAGAGAGTCAAATAGAGAATCTCATCTCTTAATTAGAAAGAAAAATACTCATCAAACATATCTCATCACTGGAAAGCTAATGATCCACAGCTGCTAGTCTGAAAGGGCAGGCTTTTTTTTTTCTGAACAGTAGGAAGTGTTAATCATTTTGGATGAGATTTCTTTTTTAATATACTGTAGTTTGCAAAGGAATAGGGTATTCAATATTCCAACTTAAATTATTTTTGAAGTGTTGTACACCAGGGATAGTGTCATGTGTCTTGCTGAATGATCATTTAATGCATGTGTCTTTCACTAAGAGTATCAACTGATGTGATGATGTAAATGGCCAGTTCATGTCTGTGACTTAAAATGTTAATCTCACGGAGGAGAAGAAGAAAAAAAGTTGTCCCTTATAGTTTACTGTGTAGGAAATGGCAGCTATATTAAACTATAACCTTTGAGACTCCCACTCCTCCATTAAAATAGTTGGCTTGTTTCAGTAGTGATGAGGAGCCTTTTTTAGACTGAGTAGAGCCATTATTTCTTTCAAAGAGATCATGCCTGATACCATGTATGTGGCACTCGATGCTTTATAGACATGGGAAGGTCCCCAAACTGACCTGTGCCCCTGTGCTTTTCTGGCGCTGCTTTTTCTCCCTGTACTTGTTCAAGGGATGGATGTGGAGCTTTCCCTCCCCTTCCTGAATGGAATAAAGTGGAAGGAATAGATTCATACATACTGCTTCCCCTCTTTCCTCTCCCCCTGGCTCTAATATCCTTTGGGCATAAGAACTGCGCCCCAGGATTTGCTTGCTTTTCTGCACAAGTTTTGGAGGCTGCTATGTTTACTTAAAAATCTTTACCTAATACTGGGAATCTGTATTTTTTCTCCCTTGTGTGTTTGTGCGAGCGTGCTTTTCTTCTGGGGGAGAGAGGGAGGCAATTTCCCTGTGCTGGTTTCACACAGCATACATCTCATTTGTGTTGCAAATACCAAGGCCTTGTTTTCTTAGTGCCTGCCTGATACAGGTACATGATAGAAGGAAGCAGTTAAAAGTCAACCAGACTGGGTGGAAATGAAACTGGCAGGTCAGAAAAACCATTTAAAGGAGACGGCAGGTATATTCTCCACCTTTTCAAAAGTCATATCCATGGAAGTCTTAAAGCGGATTAAAGAAATCCTGTGAATTCAAAGCTTTTGCGACTCCAATTTTGGGATCTTTCTTGATAGCCTGTCCTCTTAGATAAACAATTTTCTCTCATTTTCATACTCATTAGATCCCATCTAGATTACTGCAATCACTATTATTCCACTCTTCCCACCACTATAAAAACAGATTGAACATTGATAAACTTGAATGAGTTCAGTAAAAGTCAGGGTGTGGAGCACAAGTCCTGTGAGGAATAGCTGTGAGGACACTGGCTTGGCCAGCTTGGAGAAGAGCGCGCTTTGGGGAGGCATAGCAGCAGCCTGTCCATGCAGAAGGGATGCTCCTGAGAAGAGACAGGGGCTTTAAAGAGGTGCATGGAGAAAGAATGAGAGAGAGTGAGGATAAAAAAGGCAAAACTTCTTCCTCCTGGTGACAGTCCAGTGGTCGTGCAGTCTATCTTTGACCTTGGAGCTTTACAGGGTGCAATTGGGCAAAGGCTTGAGCAACCTAGTCTGGATTCAGTAGTGATCCTACTGTGAGCAGGAGGTTGGATTTGGGGACCTCTAAATGTCTCCTGAGAGCATCTATGTTGCTGGCTTTTTTTTTTTTCTCACTGTAGCTATGGATTGTTTGGAGGTTACCTGAAGATCTTCTTGACATTTTTCTAACCAAATTTGAATAGGGAATATAAGACAGACTGTATGCCTTGGTATTTCTCAACAGGTAGTCTCTAGAATCCACTTTTTTGATAGCTGGGTATTTGCCAACTTTCAAAGTTATCTTCAATATGTATCCATCAATGCAGGGCACTTCTAGGTTCATTGGGGCAAGGATTCTTTGTGCTTCTTTTGAGAATTTTATTTTAGGTTGGCTATATCGAATATGCCAGATCAAATTCCTGTGGATACTGCTTTGAAAAGACTATTTAGCAAAGTGCTAGAAGAACGCTAGAATTCTCTGAACTGCTGTTTTTTTCTTATTCATTACTATTTATAAATAATTTACTTTAAAACTAAATAACCTAAAAAAATATTTCAAATAAATAAAAACTGTTAACAGTGCCAGTATCCTCTTATGTATGTTATACAAACTGCCCTTTCAGTTCTTTAAGTATTCATCATATTTGTCTTGCAGTCTTACAAGACTTCCAGATACGAAGCATTTAGTTGTAGAAAGCAGGAGAGGGAAAGTACATTAGCTGATCTTGAGACAGATGATTACTTAAAATACTGTTGCAGTTCATCTTTTTTACTTTCACATGGATGTTTGTATTTGATAAGAGTATTTTGTTTCAATTTTAAACAGATATCTTCACAGCAGAAGATTATCAAAATCCCCATTTTCTTCTTATTCAAATTTTTATCCATCCAGACGATCAGTTTTGGCAAAATTGAGTCATTTTTTCGTTTGTTTAGTTATTGGCTTTGCTTTAGGTTTGCTAGTTCTGTGACATAACACCTTCATTAATTTTAGTAGGTCATGAAAACAAAACTATTCAAAATCTTAAGTCATAGGATTTGAATGAAAATGGCTTAGCAAGATTTCTAAAGAGAAGGCGTATATCCAGCTGTGGTAAATAGTGTAATTTACCATAATACTTTCATTTTTGACTTTCCTCAAATGTGAGGAGAACAAACAAAGTTATAATGTGACTAGAGCCAGGTAAAATACAGGTGATCTTGTTCATAGGGAAAATTGCATATGAAAATCATTTCAGTTTAAATCCATCTAAGTCCAAATATTTTTTTTTTCCCTAAAAAAAGAAAAAAGAGAGTTTTGTTCCAGAATCATCAGGGGACAGTGTCTCCCCAAAAGTGTCTCTGTGAGGCAGCTGTGAACTCTGATAAATATTTACAAATTTTTTGTAGTGTGTGAAGGTAGCTCTGATAGCCTAGCTATTAAGCTAGCTCCTAGATAATGAACTCTGACAAATATTTACAACTTTCAGATATTAGAAAGTAGCTCTGATAGCCTGGCTATCAGGGTAGCTCCTGTCTGACCAACCACAGACAGAAGTCCACAGTATCAAGCTTTCCACACTTCCCTGTCATGGAGCAATGGTGTCTGCAGCAAAGACTGCTTTCTCGCTGGACCACGGTCTCTCTGCTTGCAAGGACTTAGTGCTAGGGAACTGCCCCTCGGATATTTAGTCAGCTTATGCTTGTGTCAGCATCCAAACATGGGTCAAAGTGTGCTCAAGATGTTTTGAAGAACCACAAATTTAAAAAATGGAGTGTTAAAAGGAACAGACTTACAGGGCTTCTTAGTATTCCTTCCTATACCATTTTCTATGCTTCTATGGTCATTACAGTGTTACTGTGATTTAATTCAAATATTTGGGTTTTTTTGTGTGTGTTTTAGGATGACTTTTTGAGTCTTCTGTGCAAATGAACCTTTCATATTTTCATTGTAAGGTTTAAATTCGCATCTGTTCATTTCTGTGACATTACTAAAAGTTGTTTGAACAATAAATATTTTTTTATGCATAGAAATAAACCAGTCTTTTCTTTATCACATTATAATCTTATTTTTATGCTTCTTTGCATTATTTTGTCCAATGTAATTGTTCTCCAGTGAAATAACTTTTAAAGTTAAATATTATTGTCTATTGACTATGCTATATCAACTTTTCTTTCGCAAGAATTAAGTTACAAAGGAAGTAAAAGGTGTAGCAATTTTTTTACACAGATGAGTGGCTAGTCAGTAAAATGGGAAAAAAAAAAGTTTTCTTGTTGTCCATTTTAAGGAAAGAGAATTTTGTTTAGGACAATTTTAATTCATTGGTCCTAACTGTGTATAAGAGTTAATGTAGCGCTGAATCACTTCTTTCTCCTGTGTCATCTTCTAGCTTTTTCTCTTCGTGATTTGGAACTTCGAGCTCTACATGATCCCACTGGTGCTCTTGCTGCTGTTGGCATGGAACTACTTCTTGATCGTATCAGAGAAAGACAACAGACAACATGATCCAGTAAGTCTTTTCTACTTCAAGCACATACATGTCCTTTTCCTTTATAACTAACACAGTGATAAAATTTTATAACTGAGTTTAAATACGACATCTTTCCGAAAACATTTCAATTCATGATGCTTGATGGACAGTTTTCCCACCTGCAATCAGATTTTCTCCAGCTGTCCAATAAATGTGTCTGGTTTTGTTGAAAATGTCATTAAAAAATATAGTAGAATATGTACAGAATTTGGTTTGTGTGGGAGTAGACATGAGAGGCTTACTGGTCAGGAGAACACAAGTTCTTTGAAAATGTCCACATCACTTTTTCATTCATTTACTGCAGTTAAAGGTTAAAGTGATTCCAGATTGTTAACAGTTTCAAAACATATCACATTGATTTTAACATTTTTTTTCAGTATCACATAAAACATTCAGTGATCATAATACAAGTCTTTCTTCTCTTCATTTAATGCATTTAAACACATGCATGTAGTTTGGATATAAAGTAACAAGCATTACTAATAACACATTTATTAATAATGAAAGTGTGGTTCAGACTTTCAGAAGTATGCATCAAAATATGAAGTGTTATTCTCTGCTGTGTAAATTTTACACTATCCAGGCAGCTTAAGTGTTTTGCGTGTGTATTTTCCTTGAGCCTTACGAATTTGATATTAGATTCAGTATGCATATATAAAAAGCAGTATGCTCTCTAGGATATTATGATCCAAATGGATAGCTGGATGAGGAGAAAAGTGTTTGGATGGCTGATCTCCAAAGACACTGGTAGTAGGGTTAGTGGATCATACTCTACCTTTATGTTGATAACAAGTGGAGTACTAGAGTGGTCTGTTCTGGGATATGTCCCATCTGAGATCTTTTTCAATGATCTGTAGGAGATGATGGAGTGCATTCTGTCATGTTTGCAGATGACAGCAAATGGAGTCAGTATATACTCCAGCTGATATACTGGGAAAGGAAAGAAGAACCACTTAGTTCACAAAGACCTAGGTAAACTGGAGGAATGATCCAACGTGAACCTCATGCAGTTTAACAAGGACAAATGAGTCCTGCAGTTTGAACTCTACAGTCTTGAGACAGACTATCTGGGCAGCAGCTTTGCTGAAAGGGAATTTAATATCTTGATAGACAGAAACACGAATGGGAGCCAACAGTGTGTCCTGATACAGCTCCGATCCTGGCACTAGTATTATCTGTTCACATCAGTAAGATTGTTGTAACTCCTGGAGTCATCTAAAATTAAGGATGAGGAGGCTAGAGATATTCTCAAAGGTTAACTCCAAAGGCTGCTAAATTTATGGGAAAAAGTCTAAAATTTGCAATCAAGGTTTAAAAGGTACATTTCTTAAATCATAGCCTTTAGCCTCTGAAGCTGCCCGAAGCTCTTGAAACTTTTCAGCCTGTGGATTTTATGCGTAGCTGAAATCCCTTGTGAAAGGAGAGATTTCACTTGTGAGGTGTGATGTACTTTATTTCTCTCTAAAATACCACGTGCATGTAAAGATTAATTGGGTCACTCAACTTTTTAACAAAATAATGAAGTTATTATGGGATGTAGGGTGAGGACACTGAATACTGCTCTAAAAATATTTCTGTTGCTGAGATTGTTTCAGACCAAATTCAGTTCAGCTTTTATCAACCAGTAGAGTTCTTCCCATTTTGTTTTTGTATTTGTGCTACTAGTTGCGCTTGTTTATAACAAGTAAGTTGGGACATCATTTTTAACGAATTGAATTTAATTACTTCATTCTTAAGGAACTGAACTTGGTTATCATCATGGTTAGCATCTACTATGATGTGATCCACAGACTTGCTGGAAGATTCTGTAATTAACTCGCAAATCCTTAGTAATATCACAAGTCCTTAGCTCAGGTCATTAACACAGTATCATTAGATTAGGAGTCATTTAGAGTATTTCTGTTTTCCTATGTGGAGTGTAAATATTAACTAAATTAATTAAGCCGTGTTTTCCAGTGACTAGAGATTGTCTTAGAATTCAGATGATCTACAATCTATTCCCAGGTCTCCAGAGATTTCATGTGTGCCTTGCTAAAGTCATTGACTACTAAGTTAGGTTTATTGTCTGTTTTTAGAAGTTGCTTTGAAATCCTCGAGGAGTTGATAAGGCAAAAAGATAAATATATTTGGGTTTGGGTTCTTTGTTTTTATTCAGTTAATGTGAAACAAACATAATTGAAAACTGTGTGCATAATTAAAAACTTACGACTTGCCTCATAAGGATGGAAAATACTTACATTTTCAATCTCAAAAAGTAGTTGGGAGTTCTTTTCCCTTGTAATAAACCTGCTGGATAGCATATCAATTGTCTAATCAACTGAGGCATTAGAGACAGCACTCTACTGCAGATCAATTAAATCATTCACTAAATTTCTGTCTGGATATGACAGATAAACCAGCCTTAACTCATCCTTATTTGAATATCTTTGCAGGCAAGGCATCATTTGCTTTGTCCTCTCAGGCACCAGATTCTTTGAAGTATTTTGGAACTTAGCTTTTCATGGAAAAATGTGGAATCGTCTGAGGTATTCAGTCATAACCTGAACTACTCCCACTCCTTTAAGCATGAGGATGATTATTCTGCCACTTTCTCTGACTCGTTAGAAAATGTGTGTGCAATTTCTTACCTAAAATAAAAGTGAAATGATGCTGGAGCTGGGGCAGTGTCTTTAGTTGTGGAAGAAGTGTACTGGAAAAGCCTAGGGAGAGGTGAAGAAGCGTGCAAGATATTTTTTCTTTCAAGGTTTCAGTTGGAATTTCTATGTAGAATTGGCCATCATCACGGATTTAGTCACACTGACACAAGAGAAGAGTTGGATTCCCCTATCTTCAATACATTGAGATCAAGATTTATTGCCTTTCTGGAAGTTATTCTTTTATCAAATACAAACTCTTGCATTAAATATTGAGGTAACTGGATGAAGTTTCATAGATAAGACAGGAAGTGTTTGAGATAGAGATGTAGTGGACTTTTCATTGAATGACTCCATGAGAATTCAGAATTACTCTAAAATGAGTTAACTTGTGGCATTTGAGCCATGCAATAAGAATAGAAAATCACAGAATGAATATTTTCTTACAATACTCAAAAGGAATTTAGGTAAAATAACTCAAATGCCATTCCTAATGCTTTCCTCTGAGTTTTGCAGAACGGTTGCAAAAGATACTTAACTATTTTCTCTGCTTAAAGAAATGCTGCCCGTATCCTTCTAATATACTTCGTATGTTGTTTCTTTTTCAGGAGCCAGCCATTAGAAAAATGGTTAGGGGCCAGAAAAGCTTGTGCTATAGTTTTAAAAGTAGAATGAAATGGGAGGCATTTCTGAAAACATGGTGTGAGAGAGACTTGAACACTTAAGTTAATGCATTCATCAAAACTCAAACAATGTCTATGTAAAATGCATGCTCCTCCCAGCACACCATAGTTAACTACACATCTGGAGCTGTCTCTTTCTCAATGATTTTCAGTGGGCTATAGTTGGAAAATGATAGCAATTGGTATGTACAGCTTTTTTCATAGAGTTGGTGATGGGTTCTCTGAAGCTGCATTGAAGGTTCATGTCAAACCTAATTGAATTAGTGGGACCCTTAATGTTGCAGTTCAGAAAAATCTCACCTTATGGCAAGAACCTTGTCCTTCTTTCCTATGATTTCTCTACTGGAGCCATCTGTATGTTTACAGAATCACAGAATGGTGAAGGTTGGAAGGGACCCCTAGAGATGACCCAGTCCAACCCCCCTGCTCAAGCAGGGACACCTAGAACCCGGGACACAGGGTCGCATCCAGGCGGGTTTGGAAGACCTCCAGAGAAGGAGACTCCACAACCTCTCTGGGTTTAGTTTGTAGTTGTGTCTCTGTAAAGTTCGGCCTAGCAGAGGCTGTGGAGAAAATCTTCCGAAACAATCTGCTCAGTTCTTCACATGCTTGGTGGGACCTTGCAGCCTTGGACTGGAGCTGCACCCCTTTGGAGCAAAAGCTTTGCTGAGCCAGGGGAAGTAGCAGTCATGTCTCTTATCTATCTCTTCATCTGCCTGAACTGTTTTCCTACTTATTTTCACTGAAAATTGTTTGCTGAAACCTGTATGATCTTGGCCTGAATATCAGTAAGTTCTGTTTGCAGATACTAATCCTACTTTTTGATTTAATGTTTGTCAATTGTTTTTTTGTTTTGTTTAAGCAATTTAAAATACAGTAGAAGGACACTGGAAGTGCTTGGAGGTAACCGCGAATGGTCTTTTGCCATATATACTCTTATGGAGAAGATGTGTAGTCACTTCAGTTCACATCCTGCATTTGTAGTTAATACTTAGAGCATACAAAGAAATATTAAGTAGCTAATTTCCTCTTGAAGTTTCCAGTTGCACATGTCGTTGCATAGAAAATGATGGTGAGCATCTGGGAGTTAATGTGCCATATACAAAATTCTTGTGAGTCTGTATAATAAAGTATATACACATAGTATTAATCTTGTAAGAGTGAGATAAAATGCTACAATGCATCTTTTAATTTCACAGGAGATTTTTTTTGCAAAATAAGCTTTGACTTAAATTTCTAGAATATATGTTTCTTTCAAAAGTTCAAGTTGTACACATATAGAGTTCAAGCTTCCTGCAGACTGAATAGGGGACAAAAACCTAATGTTTCAGATCCCTTGCACATGCTGTGCAGAATCATTTTGTGTACTTGGTCTTGAGGTCCAGTATCATTTCTGTTAGGAAGTCAACAGCAATTTCTAGCTGTGGACTAAATGTTTGCTATGAATTTGTGGCAAAAAGAAATGGGACTGTTTTCCTGCTTTAGCTAGGGAGATTGGAATATGTTCTCTGCCCAAGAGATATCTTTGTGATAACAAAGGAGGGTTGTTACAATGGGAATATCAGCCTGGCTTCCAGTTTGGGGCAGGTTTTGCTGAGAAGTTTTTGCCTTCAGTAGAAAAAAACAGCAAAGCAGCAACAAATTTCCAAACAGTAAATGCTTG